ATTTCTTAATACTATGTTGTTTAATGTTTTACGTACGCGACCGATGAAATTACATGAAAGGGATTCCCCTCGCAGTGTTTCTCTTCTGAATTGCCTGTTCAAATTCCTTATAGGATCTAGAGGTTTCGGAGTTACAGAACTTTAAAATCTGTCAAGAGCGCTCTTGATATCCTCCATACATTCGAACCAAAAAATGTCGTCACCGTACTCTAAATTGCACAGATCCTGACAGTTTGGGGTCTTTTGCTTTTGATCCACCAGGATTACTGACTCATGAGAGATCTAATGTCTTCGTCGAACTTCGGACTCGGTCCCAAGAACAGTTTGTTCCTGAGTGCACCGCAAATCTAATTTGATCCCACTGTTGGTCTATTCCAGCACGTCATGGTGCTCCTACCTCCTGTTCCAGCTTCTCTTCATATCAGACCCAGCGCACTCAGGTGGCTCATAATACTAGGATTCTGAAATCATGTCTCCGATACGCAACAGACACCAAATTCCAATGACTTTATTGTGCGCGCCGGAAATGCTTGTTGACCAACCTGCATAAGAGTCCTCACGTTGAAAGCCCCCAGATTGAGAGGTTGATGAGGCTTCAGAATCTGCACTTTATTTACAGGTAAACTAGTTACAGTGCTACTCGGCAATGATCTTTGGCGAGTGACGAACAAGTTGGTTGATGGTTGATGTTACGGATCGGAAGAAGGGGTAAAGGGAGAGGGTTGGGTACGGAAGATAAAGCGTTAAACAAAGGTTGGGATATCTGAGCAGTAGCCCACTTATCACTACCCATCCGCTCGATGCAATGGACAGCGCAGTCCTGATTATACTGCGCGACGACCGATGCAGTATGAAATTATTCTTTTTTTTTGTGTTCATTGGAGCTTTATGGACGAGTACTGCCCGGGTGTCCGGCCACTAAGCAGGAGAACGATTGGGGTGCTCAACCAAAGCCTTAAGTTTTGACAAGAGCCTAACCGCAAGGCAGCGGTTAAGGCGGATTGGAGGCCCATTAGCTTAGACCAAGTAATCCTCCAACACGTTTTATCGACTGAGACGCCGACTCAAGTCAAACCCCCAACCTGGAGGACCAGGAAACTAGACTTCGTCTGACCTCTACCCATTGCCCTTCCAGGCATGATTAGATCTTTGGCTTGATTAAAGCCATCTTGTGTAGCTTGTTGGGTCATAGAGGTGCACAAGCCATCACACTACATTAAGGTGCAGTCTCGTCGTGTTGGACTGAAATTAAAGGTCATACACGTTTTTACACAACATGGTGTTGTTGTAAGTGATCGATAATGCCCCGAGGACCACCTTGAACCACCTTGTGACTACTTTCAACTGGGTGTCGTGCGATGGCCGAAGGCGATCTACCTGATGCAGTCAGATTCTATGGTGTAGGCTAAGTCGTTGAATCACGCGCGTACTCGGGGATGTGTTCGGCCATTCTACACCTTTTCCCATTAAGCGTTAGCCAGAACCCGCAATCCTTTAGCCTCAACCCGAAATGCTTTAGCAAAACGCGCAATGCTTTAGCCACGACCCGCAGTCCTTTAGCCTCGGCGCACAACCTTTAGTCACACCGCTGTAGGTGAGTCAGAACAAAAACCATCGGAATATTCTGAGGTCAACGAAGGTTGAAAAAAATTTATATTTTACAGATTTTGATGTTGCAAAGCTTGACTAATAAACTAGGTGTTGCGATTGTATGCTGCGCAGTTGACTGTAGTAACGGTATCAAATGCCGCACCACATAGTGATTGGAGTAGGTTTAGACAATGTGCCCGTATCGTCAAACCATTTGGTACATCTCGTATGGCTTCAGTGTTTTCAGTGAACCAGTTTTTAATATACTAAGTGAATAAGCGAATTAAAGGAATTAAATCACTCACCTGCTTGAATTTACTAAAGATCTCGTCCAATGGATTAAAAAAGGGACTGTATGGTGGGAGAAATCGGACTTGGTGGTTGACATTTATTTGCGCATCCAAAGCTCTCCGATGAACGGGCGCATTACCAAAGATAAAAACTACTGGGACACCCGGTTGCTCAGTAGCGATTAGCCTAGAGCAGCTTGATAGAAACCCATTGAAAACATGCCAAGTAATCTTTGTATGGCATTCATATTTCAGGAATGGCGCATGGCGAGACTACTCCTATGAATAAAGCTTTGAAGCTAAGACTTTGAAATCCTGTTTGAGTGGGGAACAGTAGAGTAAGATAGTGTTCTTTGTAAAGCGTTTTCGTGCGCTGCATTGTTGACTCCCTTTTGTATGGCAAAGAGATAAGGATATTATTTTCAGACACCCGATGGATATTTGCTCGAGTCAGATTACTTGTCTGACTATGAAAGCGGACGAAAGATTCCGGATAGCCGTTTCCCCTTAATGCACTATAAATATTGTCGTTCGTTTAGTATTGTGTCCTCCGAGCATATTTTTCTTGACTTATGGAACAACGTTCGAACCAGGACTGTCTTGTGTTCCATTGTTGAGAAACTGTTGAAGTGAAGGTACTGTCCCGAAGATAGATCGTTGGATAGAACCGTCATTTTTACGGAAATCAAGGAAAGCTAACAAATTTTCCCTCTCTTCTTCACAGGTCAATTTCAAGTTGCGGTATGCAGCGTTGAATTCACCCAGCAATACAGCCATATCATCAGGCTGATTGAAGATGACGAACACGAATTCTTTATAGAATAAAGTTTGCTTGATTGCCTCGTCAGGCCGTGCTTCAATCATACCCATGAAAATGTCGACCAGAATAGGATCAAGAGGGCACGTTTTCGGTGCACAGTTAAATGAGAGGCTCGTAGAAATCCTCCAGCCAGTACACAAACGCCTTAGCAATCAGACACCACGTGATTCCTTTCAACTTTGTGATATTTTGTCCAGTTTGAATCTATAGGGTGAATCAATGTTTTATTTTAATGTCACATCATTATTCACAAATGTCCCCCTACACGAAAACGAAGACTTCATCTGTGAATTCACCACTCCAGAGAGTATCAAACTTAGCATATCTCCTTTGCATTTTAAACCTCTCATTTTACTGTGCACCGAAAACGTGCGCTTCTTGTTTCAAGAAACAGGATTTCGACAGATAGACGGTCTCGCAACGGGCAGTCCTCTAAATTAATCTTACATTTGCGGTCAGAACTATGGAAATCACCATTGGATCTGTATGCTCACTTATACAACGTGGAATTAGGCAATTCCAATCCACATTCCTATGTCAACAGAGCCTCTTTACGTTTCGATAATTGTCCCATCGTCCAATCCACACAGAAAGACCCAAAACACTTTTGCATTGGGTATACTTTAGATCACTTTCAATTATGAACAAACTATTCGCTATTACCCGGCTTATTACTGATGCACTCCCATGTCATGCTCTCAGTTTATGTTCACTTTGCCATTAAGTCCATCTTATCGCAACTTTACATTCATCACCGAAGATGAAAATAACGCCGTCTATCCCGTCATGAATAACCAACATTGAACAACATTGTGAGTGATTCTCCCCCGTTTATCGTTCACCTACTAATCAGATTGCAAAAACAACAAGATCAGTTTGACGCAGAAGTGGCAAATGCCATCTCAAGAGCTGGAGTCGCGACCGCAGAAGCAAGGACACTTAGTCTACAAGCAACTAGTTTGCGTTCGGGTTTGGAGGAGCAGCTTCGTTGTAAGTCGGAGGAAGTTGCGAAGCTTCAAGCGGAAGTAGAGGAATTGACTACACAAATTAAAGATGTGAGTTGTGCGTTGCTTTGACTATCCGAGGTGCATATTTTATAAACACGTTCACTTGTGCATTTATCATAACGCAATAAATGTATGTACGTCTGTATGTATGTCAAATGGGAGCTATCGAGATGGCCTCCTAGCTGATCTAAGAAGATGTAAGTTGCGGAAAATCGAATGTTGAGTTCGTCGATGTGCTCAAATGTCATCGAAATCTATAGTCTTCTCACAAACAAAATCGTGATCTGTACCTTTTCTTCAATGAAGTAATCGTATTTTGTAAGATTATAATCGATATAACTTGACACTATAGAAACGCTAGTTGCGAGTGTGTTAACATTAGGCCATGCGAAGCAGTCTATGTGACATTCTGACTCACTCAGGTACGCATTATTATACCAAGAAACTGGCATGAGGACATTTGAAGGTCAGTTTCAAGTCACATAAGTTCCGTGAAATATATTTGATCTGAGATACCAAACTGGATTATGCTAGTTTGGTGTGATGCAGAAAGTTACACATTGTGAAGCTTCCTGAATACGTCTAACATGTGATTTACCTAATTGTTCTTCGCTGCTCGAATTGTTTTTTAATATTTCATCACGATTTCTGCGGTCAGAATTTGTTTTTGTTCATTAAAATGATGCATGTGGGATGCTTGGAGAAATAACCGGATTTCAAATCGACCGCATTAAGCTACATATCCTCCCCACATGACCGTCATTGACCAACTTGCACATTAACATGAGTAAAGGCATGGGCTGCAGTACATAGGTGCGATCTTCACTGAGGGAGCCAGAGCTCAGAAGATTTCGTTTAGCTGAGATGATTTAACTTTTCAGCATCACTCAGATGTGTTATTGTCTAACAAAAATAATGTTCCCTATAAACTCAGCGTTTCTCCATCAACATGTTAGGATTAGATAATACAAAATTCATATACTGGAACATTCTCCGATTGCAGAAAAATCAGAACAGCTGTGAGGTAGCCTTGAGAAGTGCGCTGGATAAGACGGAACAGAAAA